TAGGAATTTCTAAGGCCTCATTGAGGTCTGTGGCAGTGCTGTATAATTTTTTGTCCGTACCACTCACTGATGGGAAGGAAGCGGGAGAGTCCCATGGCTTCTTGATCCCTTTCAGGAAAATGGCGGGGCAAGGTATATGGTGTTGCGTTGTCACCTTTTCTACGAATACGGGTCTGGATGTGGTGGCCGGTGTCGCTTGCGGCTGAGAAAACTGATCCGTCCCCATGTCCGCAATGGCTGTGGCCTTGCGTAGTATCGTGAGGAAGCGGTTGGGATTAAATAATCCCCCTGAGGGGGGCTCAGGGGGAAGTTCCTCATCCTCTGACATAGAGATCCCAGGTTGATCCTCCTCTTGTGGTGAAGAATAACCACTCATGGAGGACTGGGCCGGGGAGACGGGTTCCTGAATGCCTGAGGACTCTGAGGGGAGTTCCGAGTGTGGCATGGCTGAGATGGAGGGCCCCTGGTCGTGGTGGGCGGAGCGCTGTGCTAGGGCTCGGTCCACCACTTTGGTTAATAGGGCCTCTAGCCGTCCATCTGCCCAGATGTCCCCTATGTCATTACCTTTGGGTGTGGTGACCGCAGGTGGAGAGTTGGACTCAGTGGTTGTGCCTGCCGCCGTGGTTGTTTGTTGGGCTGATGTAGATGGCGGATCCAGTGGTTGCGGTGTTCCTGGAATGGACCACGCGCTCTGGGTTGATGTGGATGGACCCAATGGTAATTCCATCTCGGTGGCCGCCATTTGAACCAATTCCAATTGGGCCTGCCTCTGCGCTCTGGAGAACTCCTTCTCCAGGGCCTGGTGCCTACGGCTGGCTTGCTTTTCCGCCAACTTGGAGGGCCTCTTGAGCGAGTGTTTTGTCTTCGCTTTGCACTTGCCTGCCGCCTTCTGGTCAGAAGGTGTGTTGCAGCCGTAATTGGGAGGTGGAGGGGTCGTGCTCATGGATTGAGGCAACGAGGGTCCCTCCATTCCGCTTGAGCAGTCCCAGAAAAACTGAGAAGACGCTCAGGCAGGCAAGTATTGGCGGGAGCGAAATTGGAACAAGTACCAGGACTGTTCCCCTGATCACCCGACCACAACAAAAATATTCTCTCTGGGCTAAGGTCACGGTAGCTGAGGGAGGTACCGAAGGCACGTTTGGAACCACTCTTTGGGTTCCGCCCGGAGGCCTTAGGTGACCAGGCAACGTGCACCAGTAGAAAAAGGAAAAGGGAGGCAAAAAATATCAGTGGCGACCTCAAAAGGGTCTGTAGGCCTGACTTAATACACAGCAGGTATCAAATGGCGGTCACCTAGAGCGGAATTTATTCTTATTAATACTATTACTATTATACTAATAATAGGAACAACAATAATAGTAAAATAATAATAATAATAACAACAACAACAATAATGGTGATGATGATAATATTGTGTGTTCTGTCTTTAGGCCTGTTGGCCCTGCAGTCGCTTAATTTTTAGCTTTAAAAAAAAATTTTTTTTTAATTATTATTATTATTATTATTATTTTTAAAATTTATGTATCTATTTTTATTATTATTATATTTTGTCCTATTATTATATGTGTGTATCGGGGGTGGAGCGCTGGTTGTGTGCTCCTATTCCGCCTCTATCAGTGATTCCAGATATGATGTAGAGCTTCCTTAAGCTTGGTTTGCCTTTCTCTGGCAAGAGATGGCAGCCACAGCTCGTTTCTCCCTGAAAAAGGGCTTTGCAGATCCCAGGAGGGTTCTCTAGCCTCCGTTTCTTGGTTGGCTTACTCCCTTCCTGTGCTTCGTTTCCCTCTGAAGATAAGCTCCGCAGCCTCCCAGAAGCTGCTTGTGCCCGGGGATTTAAATTTGGCGCGCTGTGACGTTTTAAGGTAATCCCAGCCAGGGATTGCCTTTGTTGTCTGAAAACGGCAACTAAAATGGCGCCCGCGGTTGCCCTGGGCTGCTAGGGAATCTCCGATGATCCGAATTCAAGTTTGAATCCGGACCTGGAGATTGTTATTTTTTCCCCCAATTTGAGGAAAAAATCCCTTGGAAGGTTGGGGAGAAAAGCTCAGCAAGTGGTCTCTGCTGATGCCTTTTCCCCCCCCCCTTTTCCACCTCCAGAGCCCTGGGGCTGACTGGGATCCGTGGGGAGTTTTCCCCCCCCACACCCCCTTTTTCAATTTTAATATAGGATCAGGGATGATCCCAAGGAAAACTTAGTGGTTGGGGAAAAGGTTCAGCAAGTAGTCTCTGCTGATGCCTTCTTCCCCCCCTTTTCACCCCCCAGAGCCCTGGGGCTGGCTGATATCTGTGGGGAAATTTCCCTCCCCACCAATCCCCTTTTTAATTTTAGGTTTGAGATCAGGACTGATCCCCAGAAAATTTTGTGGTTAAATTCCTATAGGTGGAAAATATTTTTTTTTTTTTGGGAAGGGGAAGCCAATTATCAAGGGATAATCAATCAATGGATTTCTTGTCTAACCTGATAAGCTGAGAGCCACGCCAAAACGAGTCTTCTCCGAGCAGAGACCAAGTTAAGAATGGACTCCACAGGAAGTGGGGGCGTGTCAAGCTTTGGCTACTTGGTCTCAAGAGCAGGCAGACAGAGAAAACCCATCCATCCATGGATTATCCATCTCCTGTACTGGAGAACTTAATAGTTATACATATCAAGTGTGAATGTATCAGACGCAAGTCCGGAGATGACACAACAAAAACCAATTGAGATCAATCCTTTATTTGCTTACACCTAATAGACAGCATTTTACCAGACTAAACCCTAGACTGTGTAGTCTCTTAATCTAGGCCTCTCTCTTGGAAAGTTCTGTGTTGCCAAAACTCTCCCCCACTGCTTCTCTGGGTGCACGTTCCATCTCAAAGTGTTACTGTAGATTTCTCCTTTTTTGAGGGAATCCTGATGGAGCATTGAGAATATGAGAATATGTATTCAGATAATACATTAAGATAAGATAGTGACATTAAGATAATGTCACTAAACTGGACAATAATTATTTGTCTTGTATTGCAATTTTCCTCTAGTTTTTGTGATTACCTTCTCAACATAGAAATACATAGTCTGCTGAGATGAAGCTGTTGCAAAGTTACTGGCATTCAGAACCCACTGCAGGACCAAATAGTTCCTTTGAAACTGCCCTTTATATGAGCCAAGGTGGCGCAGCAGTTAGGGTGCAGTACTGCAGGCCACTTTAGCTGACTGTGTTCAGCAGGTCAGCGGTTCAAATCTCACCGGCTCAAGGTTGACTCAGCCTTCCATCCTTCCGGGGTAGGTAAAATGAGGACCCAGATTGTTGGGGGCAATGTAAATATATATATACATTGCTTACTGGTGTACACCGCTTAGAGAGTGCTTGCACTTAAAGCGGTATATAAGTCTCATTAAATAAATAAATAAATAAATAAATAGTGCTGCATATATCTGTAGGATATACAAATAGTCTTTGACTTGTTTATTCAAAGTTACAATGGAAAAAATGACTTATGATCTGTACTCTCACTTATGATCATTGCACCCCGCCCAGGATCACGAGATCACAACAGGGACATTGGGCAACCAGTCTGCATTCAGGACTGGTTTGCAATATTTTGCGATCACAAGATTGTAATATGCTATCTTTCTTGCCATGGTCAGGGAAGATAGATTTGCTTAATGACCACATGATTTGCTTAAAAACCACAATTCACTTCAGAAACACGATAATTTGCTTAACCACTATAAATAGTATTGTAAAATTGGGTCTGACGTGACATACAACTGCTATGATTTATGACATAAATTCCTGTCCCAACTGTGATCATAAGTTGAAGACTGCCTGTAAGACTCATTAGAGCCACACATGCCAACAATATTCAGAGTACAATATACAATATTCAGCACTCTTGACATACAATCTGCCACTAATTCTCCCTTTGCTTATCACTGTTCTAACAAAAGAGACAATCTTGTTTGTTGATATTGCATGAAAGGCAGGTTAAATTTAAAAAATAGCATTAGAAAGTGACACCCTGTTGTATCAGCAGGAGACAGATTTATTCTAGAAAGGCCCACTATGCATTGAGATCTGGACCAACTCTGTATGCTGCCCAAAGTCATGTTATGTGAGATGGGAGGCTATATACTGTAAATGTACTAAATTCTCCCTCGCTCCCTCCTCCATCTGGTAACAACCAACTACCTGCCACCATGGGACTTGTGAATTCCTGCTGACTTCTCCGCTGACTTTGGTTGTGAGAAGCCAGCTGGAAGTGGCTTCAATTAACAACTATGGGATTCAATTAATGATGGCCACCCAGACTGCAGGGATTGATATTGCTAAGCAAAGCAACTGTACTTTACAACCACATTAGTTAAAAGATGGATATTTTGGTCTCAATTGCCACAATAAGCTGAGGACTATCTGTATTATTTCTACCTGAGAAAAGATGCTTTCAAAGCTTATAAGCTTTTGGCATTTTAGAGAAAAAGCAGATTGAGGAAAGCTACAAAGCTTTGTCTAGAGTAGCATTTCTTAAAAACTGGTACTAGGATCCTTGGTGTTTCCCCAAGTCCCTCACACTCCCAGAGATGCCTATGTTTAAAAAATAATATAATTCTATTAAAGTCCCATCAAATAAGTGTAAAAAGCAGTTTTGGCAGCAAATGCATCTATTCTAATTTTAAATACAGTGAATATCTATAAATATGACCCATGCAAACCAAGTTCTGTTGAGGCCTTCCATAATTTTTTAAAAGTGGGAAGTGGTTCAAGAGAGAAAAGGTTTAAGAAATAGGGGTCTAGAGCAATATTAGGACAACCCACAAAAGCTTTAATTTTCATCTACAATTTCAGTTATTAGCTTTAATCTGCTGCATAACCAGCTACGAAATTCATGAACAACTGCAGTTAAGAAAACATCTTGATTGATTGATTTTGCAATAAAAACCAATAAAGAGGAAGGGAAGACTATAAACTCTACTTTGTTAAGGAGATGAGATGGAAGAAGAATTTGTTGTTATAAATATCTACCTTTCCTTTGCCACCTGCTTTTTCTTCCTTCCTTGTTGCTACTCTGATCACTGCTACTACTACTGCTGCTGTCTGTGGTGGAAGAATCTGATTGTATATCACTGCTTTCTTCTGAGCCGTCAGACAAATCCTTCAGCCCATCAGGAACATCTTTCTGCAAATAAGTAACAGAGAAAGAATCATACAAATCCAGAGGCAGAAGAATCTAATATGTAGTGTGTAGTTTTGTATTTCACTTTAACATTAAGGAGAATTAAACTCTAAAACAAATTGATGCCACTACTTCAAAAATGAAGGAAAGTGTTCTTCTAGAAACACCATTAAAATTAAAGACAATTATAAAAGATGACACAGATCTTATCTGCATAAGATAGGTGATGACATTTATTCAACTTTGGTTGATCTAGGAAAGTTAAGCACATTTGGATCTGATTGGTACTTGAATGGGAGACTTCCAGAAAATTCCAGAACAATAAACTGGGCTGGCAAATTTAAATAAATAAAGAAATCCAAGAAGATAGTAGCAAACCAATTTGATATAGTTTCTAAGAGAATTAAATAAATGTGTCTCTGAATTCACAAGGCATTGTACTCAAGAGGAATTTCCATTTTTATTTAGTATGGATGGATACAGGTTAGCTCGACAACTCCAGAGGAAAAGTGGATCTGATACTACCCCAGTCCATACTATCCCACATCCTTCAGTATACCCAAAAGATGCCTCCCAAACTTCCAAGGAATGGAGATTACCACACATCTGTTCTTTTGTGCACCTCAAAATACCCCAAATTATTGGCACTATAATAGTTAACATTCAATCTATTTTCTTCACTTAGTTTCTTTAGTTTATAAAACCATAATTCTTGGAAAACAATCTTCATGATAATACATTTTATCTTCGTCAATACACTTTACACTATATTTTCAACCTACTGGAAAGTCTATTCTCAGAAAAGAAAAACCCTAGCTGAATGACAGAACATGTGGAATTTCTAGATTCAATCAAAAATGTAGACCCATGTCTGAAAGCCTGGAGAGCTGTTGCCAACGTTAATAATATTGAACTAAATTAATCAATGATGTAACTCAATAGAAGGTTTCTTGTATTTCTAACAGCTTCTCACTCTCCTAACAATGGATTGTATGGATTTGATTCAATAAACTTCCTGTTAAGCTAATTAAGACTTTCAATTAATGGATAACAATTGGTTTGTGATCTAATCAGTCATAAGGGTTAATGCAGGAACACTGTCAAATCCATACACCACATACTGTCACTACTCACCTTTTCAAAAACTATTTTATGCCCTATTGGGAACATCTGTTTAAAACAGCAGCATACCACATCATAGGATTTCTAATTCTGGCACTTTGTGGTTTGAAATATAATTTAACTTGTTAAAAGATGGTTCATATTTCAAGTGGAAGACTCACTTACTTTCAGTGTATAGACCCCCATCCTTCCAGGAACCTTATAGAATATTCCCTCATCTCCACGGGAGTTGGTGTGCAGCATAGCATTCAGGCATGCGAGCGGAGAAGTTCCACTGGGAACAGAAATGCAATATTAGCTACCAGCAATACAAAGCACAGCTATCACACTTTGTATCTGCTTTGGAATTATGCATTACAGGAGGGTAAAAGAAATGATGCAAGAAACGCCTTGCCCACTTTTATTTATTTATTTTGAGTGCAGCTCAAGTTCAACTAACTTCTAAACAATTCTTCAGTATATGCAAATTAAAATGAAATAAGGATTGGCACAGATGTTACAGGCCATGGCACTGAAGGAAAATTTTAGAGACAATGGACAATATAATTTAACAGGTAAATTCTCTATAAGCAAGCATATACTGCAAAATATAGCACAAAACGTTCATACACTCATGTTAATTATAAGAGAAAACTGCTCTTGCTATTGAGAGAATTCCTAGAAGGGAAAGAAATTTCTTCAGTCATTTCATACATAGTCTGTCACATTCCCAAACGTAAGTGCCAGGCCAAAAAAAAAAAAGCAGCAGAGATAATAGAAGTTTCTATAGCCCCGACAACCAAAATATTAAGAAAAAAAGTTTCAACATTTATGTGAATGACTTAAGAGTCTTCATTGCTTCAGACATACTGGCATTTAAAAAAAAACATGCTGGTTTGAGAATAAAATGCATCAATTTCACAGTATTACCAAAAATAAGAATTGTTTTTAATTCAACTGCAAATTCCAGTGTGTATTGTGCATCCATAATAAAGTTGAGAAGAAGCATTACAGAATAAAGTGGGCTCATTTATTCAGTTTTTTTACTCTTCCAAGTTGCTTCCAATGTGTGCTTGTTTGCAGTTCAACAGTAAAAAAAACAACTACCGTAATACACTCATAAACCAATAACTTGCATTTATGAACAATGCATTAAGCTTCCCAAACATGTAGTCTAGACGTAGAAACTATAATCGCAATATGCCAAAAAGTGTGAGTTTAAATTAAGCACAAGACTAATCTGAACCCAAATTCATAAGAAAAACGGCTAATATTTACTCACACAAGACAATTCACTTAATTTACCTCGGCCTATAATACCACTTAGAGATAAGTTCATTTCCTTTGCTTATGAAGAAACAAAAACCTTTGTTTCTATAACAGAAGTGGGCAACATTTAGTCAAATAAGGCCATATTTCACATTTAGGAAAAACCTGAGAGCTGCAGAGAAAGTGATGGTACATATGGATATAGCACTGGTTTTTCCCCCTTGGCTTTTGGAGTGTTGAGCTGTGTTTTGTTCTCTCTCTTTTTAAAGCATTTGAAGATTCAAACAATATGTTTATGTACTTCCTGTCTCAAACAGTACAAAATCACACCACCAATTTTTTGTGATTCTAGTTCCCCACTGTATATAGTTCCCCACTGTATATAGCAATTAGTGTTTTAAAAGCTTTTATTGGGGTTGCCAATGAAGATATTTCAAAAGTGAAACTGCTGCACAAGGATAAAATGGAGGTCAGATGAAACCTCCATTCCTCATGCTCTGGAACCACTCTAGAAAAACAATTCCTTCCCTTCCTACAGCAGTTCAGGCATCTAAAAAATTTAAATTGTTATAAAAAGGCTCTGTGGGAGAAAGGGGGGGAATGGGACTCTGGAGGGAACAGTTTATATGAAAAACTATGGGAGAAAGGAAGCATAAGAAGGAAGAGAATGGTCTTTCTCCTGTACAGCTCCCTGGCATGACCCTGCAGGAGTTTAAATGAGTGCCGCCTTTGGGCCAAAAAAGGATCCCCAGTTTTGCTTTATTTTAATTCAACATTCAGAAGATCCTAGAGTGAACAACAAGATGGTTCAGAAAACCCTGCCAAGTCAATCAGAGATGAAATCATCCAAGTAGAAGAGCCAATGCTAAGCTTCTTTCGCTCAAAGTCAAAGAGAACAAAGACTCGACTGGCAAATGTCAGCCCTTCCCACCTCATCTGGCTAGCCCTGGCCTCCCACAAACAAGTTTTGGGTACACAGAGAAATGATTCTTCAACCTAACAGCAATGAAATTATCGCTAAGCTTCTTTGCAAAGCGAGCTAAATAAATGTAGCATTACTTATGTGCAAAGGAATTTATTCATTAATTGTGGCTCTTACCTTCTGGAAAAGATGGAAATCCAAGAAACCCAAAAACAAATTGAAAGAGACAATGAGAATGGGTAAAGGAAAAAAAAAGATAAAAATGTAAGTATGTCAGTAAAACAATACTTTCATATATTTCCCATGACCACCCACGCAACCCATTTTCCTTAGATTATAGAGAACAAAGGGGACAAGAATTGGACAAATTCATCAAGCAGGCTTTGAAGTCTCAAGTGGGAGTACTGGTAGTATAAATAAAAGATACTACTTTGGTGTTCAAGTGCAAATTACACTGAAGGAAAGGTAAAAAAAACTAGTAACATAAAAGGCTGCAGAGTCAATGCTACCTCTAGGTAGGAACAAAGAATACTGTTGAAACTGCTCCATTATTACAGATGACACCCGAGAATTACATGTTCCACATTGATTTTACAAACGTATTCCTCCCACTGTAATTAAGAACATTTCTTGTGGGTTGATTGCATGGCTTAATAAAAATATATGTTCTTAAAATACCCCATGACACTTTATTGAACTTAATTTCTGGTGGAAATTGTTTTATTTTTATCTATTTACTAACTGTACCCAGCCACGCATTGCTGTGGCTCAGTCTGGTTAAATGGAAAAGAAAGAAAAGAGAAAGTGCACGTTTGTAATATGTTTAATTTCACAATGCTTGTGGGTATACAATATTTTTTGTTGTTCTATTGTCTGTGCAGCTAGAGATTGTCTGAAATCGTAGCGGGTGCTGCTTTTACATCCAACAGATGGTGCTGTTTTTCAAAAAAGCATGTTTTTACCTGTCACAGGTGTGACATCTATATAATATAGGTATAAAAAACATGTGTGTATTCGAATGCAACGTTGTGTCAAAATTTCAAAGCAATCGGTGAAGAACTTTCGGAGATTTAAGGTTTTGAACAAACAAACATTTACATTTTTATTTATATAAGATTACTGTGGCCAGAAAAAACAAAGCCCATATCGTTACACAGAAATCAGGCTTGTCAGAAACAAACTGCTTGAAAGATCTATGGCCAAGAGACTTACAAAGCAGAAAAGCTATCACAAGCAAACATCCGACATTTGGAAGAGACTACTGAACACAATTTCATTCATTCTAGTATCTGATCAAGACTGGAACCAAAGTCAGGAAGTCACCTATCAAGCTAATTCTGGAGAAATATAGCATTATGTGTCATTGGATACATCTTGCACTATTTTTCTGACAGTTTCAATTCTGAAGCTTAAGCTATAATGTTCAGTCAATCTCCTTTAAGGAAAACATGCCTGACTACCTTATTTTTAATTGAAGTATTGAGGAAAGGGAATAGTTTATATTTTAAAGTACTAACAGATTTATTCAATTAAATTCTGAAAGGTACTATAATATAATGTTCTTATTACTCTTTCTAATTTCTTAAAAAGTTCTATATTTCTTTTATTCTTTTGTATTTCAAATAAAAACATCTGAGTTGGCCTAGTTCAATAAATAATTAACCAAAATAAATAATACATTTTAAACCTAAATTCCATTTCTTGACCCAGTAAGGAATAATCATCAAAAAGTAGGCAATTTTTAAAGGCAAAAATCTCTAGAAAATGCAACATCTCCAGTCAGTGGCAGAATATCAGAAAAGAGGGAGCCTCCCAAAAAAAGTCACTCTCAAATTCTTGTGGGTGAAGAAAACAATTTTTAAGTAAGATTCACCCCTGTAAGCAAGAAATAAACAACATCTAGCCTCTCATTCTGGAAGTTCCCAGGGTCATACATAATCCCAAAAGCTTGCCATAAAATTTAAAAGTTAGGGTTTTTTTTAACTTTGGGCTGAAAATTTTAGTCTTGTCCCCTCTGGAGATAGCATTATACATCTCCCACATCCTCTAATTCTATCCCCATCCCATCCCAAATTAAAAATGTTTCTTCAATCTGCAAAAGCATTAACTAAATTAAATCATTATGACTTTTAAATGGAACAAACAACATTTTAGAAATCCTTAGCAGTAAAGTCTCATCAGAGACAAACTGACCAAGCTAAACACTCAAAAAATATAGCATTAATCATTTTCAATGGTTTTAACTCCTCTAATTTTTAGCTCATCTTAATTTTTATTTTCTAAGCAAGTTATATTTACTATATTGATAATCTTTTTGCCCTTCAAAAATAGTACCCATAGTAATTAATAATAGAAAAAAAAGTTGTAAGTAAAAGTTTGTTTTACAAACATGACCTCTACATTGCTAAGAATTTCTTTATTATATTCAAGTCCCCAAAATGTACCCTATTTAGTAAGACTGAAGAAAAGTGCATACTACAAAGCTTTTTTAAACAAAATGAATGTATAAATATAGAAGTTCTCTGATCTGAGTGGAGTACATTTCAATTTTCTGTGCATCTTTTTTAAAAAAACATAAAGCCATTTTGATTACAAAGCATGAAATCCATGTTTGCTTTCCAGTAAAAACAGTGCATGCACACAGCAACTTCACAGCAGGCATACAAACTCCCACACATTTTTAATTGTGTACTTCTTCCCACTATTAAGTGCTTCCCATTAAGCAGATAAACCTTAGCAGCAAACATTTAGCCTTTTTATAAAACATATTAAAAGATTCAAAGCATTTCATATAATTGTTCTAATAATTCTTTGTTCTGTAAGGTAGATCATTATTACTCTCTTATAGATAAAGTGATTGTGCACCTTTATTTATGAAAGGCCTCATTCAATCCCTGTCATTCAATGTGGAAAGAAAATACTGTAATAGTAAAATTAGAAAACATCTCAACTGTCTGAATCATTAAACATTTTCTAGCATCAGAGTAGACAACAGCAATCTAAATTAATGTCAGAAATTTGAATATGGTATTTAAAGTGCCAGATTTGAATGGAGGACATCGTTCACTTTCCCAACTATGGAGTTCATTTTAAAACTGTTGTCCTCTCTCAGCCTAACCAACCTCACAAAATTGTTGTTAGGATAAAATTAAAGGAGATCTTTCTAACAGTTGCCTTGAGTTCTCAGAGAAAACTGGAACATGCATGCAATATAGCCTAATAGTGATTCCCAGAAAAGCTTAACTTAGTCCCATTCCTAAGCTTAGTGAAATACCTAATGATTTACTGATTGACAGCTCAGTCTCAACCACCAAGCAGCTCTGAAAAGTAAAATTTTTCAGGCACATGACATCAAGATGATATTACTTCAACCAGGAAGTTGCCCTTCCTACATGAACAAAATTCCTTTCTGTTTGTTACCAAGTAGCATTAGTTCCCTATTTACAGTAGTGTTTTCATAAATACAAAAAAATTAACTTCAGTCTACAAACAAAATGTCTGGAAGAAAGTCTGGCAACACAAAATGAACACGAGAGGAATGCATATGCTGCCCTGGTCACCTATTTGTATCTGCAATACTTACAAAACCTATCTCTGTTTATGTTATTAGGAGTACCAAACAGTATAATAATTCATACTCACCTAATCTCTTTTAAACCTTCTTTTTGGATAACCTGAAGAATCTCTTTGTGGCTCATTGGTCTGTTAGGATTTTTTTCCAGAACCTTGTAAGAAAAAAAAAAAAGATTTGAATCAACTTGTCTTGTCTTATTTTAGCAACTGGTTTCAATCTTTTTTTTCTATATTCTATGTCTACTTGCCTGCCCAGTGACTTAGAATCAATTCTTCCAAACATTTATCCCAGTTTGAGCTAGTGAACAGGTATTGCAGAATATGTTGGCATGTGGTACCTTCAGCTTTTTTTTTTCATTCTTATCATTAGCCTCATTGTCATCAGCCATTCTGCCATATCTGATCCTTGGCAAATCTATGGATCAGTGTTATCATTAGCAAAACTACTAAAATCCCATTAAAATGGCAGATAATTTATGTAACTAATTCTACTTCTGCTCATTTCCTATTGACATACCCACAAAACATAGCAGTTAAGTGTACATTTAATTATATTTGCAAATATACAATATCAAGATTAAAACAAACAAACAAAAAGGGAATGTTTATGACCCCAAAATTATTGGAATAACTATTGATGGTGGAATAGTCAATTTTAAAAAAAGGATGTTTGACTTCAATACCATCTCTTCATGCAGTCACCTTAAATCATTAAATGGGCAGCAAATAAATTTGATAAATAAAATTGCACAGTAGAGAAATGACATTTGTCTTAGAAATGCTTAAGATAAATGCTATATACAGAACAGCTTATCCAAAATTGAACCTATATGAAGCTAAATGGTACAATCCCAATATATATCAGGCAATGCTTTATCCTGGATGGCTATTACAAATATTTCTTTTTTATAGATTTAATAAATTTATATGGTCGCTCATCTCATAAACATGATTCTGGGTAGCTGATAATTTTTTCTTTTATTATTTGTACTTTGATTTCTATCTTCCTGTTAGCACTGGACACATTTGACATTGGGATTGTAAATATTATGAAATAAATAAATAACTATATAAATAAAAAATAAATGTTACAGTGAGATACAAGCAATGCCACGTCATATATGATGTTGTTATCTCCACCCTCTACAGCACCCCTAGAATGCTTCTGATATATTCTTACAATAGTTCGAAATAACAGCAACAAATTATGCAAATACACTATAATTTTGAAAACCCAAGTTTTCGTACCCCCTGGAATATTCTCTTTCACCCCCAGGGGGTACGGGCACCCCTGGTTGGGAACCCCTGCTCTACAGTGCCCCATATAATTGACTTCTGGCAATAGCTATAAGCCATGGCAACCAAGAAAGCAAACCAATGGATCTTCAAATAAATCAACAAGGGTTCTCACTCGAAACAAAAATGACAAGGCACAAATTACAATGCAAAGACCCAGCTGTAATGCTGGGAAAGGTTGAGGGAAAGAGAAGAAGAGCAGAAAGATGGATGGACTTAGTTACAGTGGCAATAAGGATACCATTGGGAGACTTAAAAAAACAGGTTAGGGATAGATTATCATGGAGCAATGTAGTTACTAGGAGTCAAAAACAATTTGATGGCACATAATAATCAAGCAGTTATAAGTTTATTATCAGGAAATCATAAGGAGGGGAAATGTAGGCATGACAGAATTCTTATGCTATTTTACAGTCAGAAGATTATAATTTAAAATCTTTTTAACCCACTTGGGGAATTCGTACTTCATGTAAAAAGGGGTAATTGTCCCAAAGCAACTCTCAAAAATGGAAGCAACAACTGTTCTTCTTTTAAAATATAAATCCTAGTAGTTCTTATATAACTAGCACTAATTGAAAACTTACAAGAATGAAGAAATGAAGAAAAGAAGATAGCTTTTGAGACGAATTCATAAGTTGCATCAGGTAACTTAAGTTCAGGTGTGTCCAACCTATGGCCCATGGGCCATATACAGCCTAGATAGCTAGTAATGTGGTCCTGTAAGATTGTAAACTTTAAACATTGTGCAGTTTATATACATTGACTATATTACGTATTTTATATGCAGCTCAGGACAATTCCACTTCATTTAATGTGGCTCAAGCAAGCCAAAAGGTTGAACACCCATGCTCTAGATTGTATAATGGTACTCTATCTAGACCAGGGGTAGGCAACCTTGGCTCTTTTATGACTCATGTACTTCAACTCCCAGAATTCCTGGGCCAGCATGTTCTGGGAGTTCAAGTCCACGAGTCATAAAAGAGCCAAGGTTGCCTACCCCTACTCTAGACTCTATAACCAAAGTCAAAGTCACTAGGAGGGAAAAAAACAATTTTCTTAAAGTTCTAGATGTTATCTTCAGGATTAGAAGAGTATTCTGGCTGGGTACAATTAGGATAGACATTGTTACATGGTCTTCTGCAATGCGAAAGCTTTCAAAACATAAATATTAAATGGCAAAAGACTTATGCCGGAACATGCGGTAGTAAGATTTTTTTTCTTATAAAATTGGGCATTTTAAAATTAAATAAGTACAAATTAAATATAATACAAAACAATTTATCATTTTGGAGTCAGTGGGCACCATCTAGTGGTGTCACAGGCTTCATAGCACCTGTGAGCATCAGCCAGCTGCCTTCCAGTACTCAGGATCCTTGCAGTTAGGTAGGATACACTGTCCAAAATAATAAACGAAAACTGAAATGATACTGAAAAGCTATTGAGTTTTTTTCCCACTTTAAAAAGCAAGGCGAAAGAGGCAGTACGGAAGGTGCTTTTAGGAGACCAGAAAAATAGTGTATCTGAAATAAACTGATAAGTAATGTCTGATAATGAGAGCTATATAACATTTTATTTATTTATTTATTTATGAGACTTATATACCACTTTAAGTGCAAGCACTCTTTAAGCGGTGTACACCAGTAAGCAATGTATATATATATTTTTACATTGCCCCCAACAATCTGGGTCCTCATTTTACCTACCTCGGAAGGATGGAAGGCTGAGTCAACCTTGAGCCGGTGAGATTTGAACCGCTGACCTGCTGAACACAGTCAGCTAAAGTTTTATTTCTGGTTTTGTTTATGTGGGAAGTCCTAGACTAATTCCCAAGTCCCTTCGGCTGTTTACTGAAGAATTGCATGATATGACATGCTATAATAATAACAATAACAATAATAACAAAACAACAACAATAATAATAGAGTTGGAAGGGACCTTGGAGATCTTCTAGTACAACGCCCCCCCCCCCCCCGCTCAGGCAGGAAACCCTATACCATTTCAGATAAATGTTTGTCTAGTCTCTTCTTAAAAACCTCCAGTGACGAAGCACCCATAACCAGAATAAGGCACGGAGTGATGACATTTGTTCATACTGAGGTATAGAAAGGGTCCTGCCTTCTCTCTGTCCTGTCACCAGGTTTAAATGTCTTTGACCTTCTGATGGATGGCTTCTTGTTTGCATTTTTACAACATAAATTTATTGGTGTGGTTCCCTCCTCTGCATCCTGACTTTAGATACTACTGTAGAAACCATGTAGTAAAAGGGCTGTTGAGGCATTTTGTTCTAATTTGCACATCCTCTTACATCCTAGTTGTTTTTGTCCTATTTTAAGGAAAGCTACCCAGCATCACCAAATAATAATTAAATAATTAAATCAATCTCCCACCCTGAGTATAGGTATTTACACTGATACTTTCAAATCTTTAGGACATAAGAGTATAATATAAATTTGTTGTCTAAATCTAATTAGCTGCCTCTTCTTTGGTAGCTTTAAATAGTTCAATGGATTTTTCATGTATACCTGGTGATTTTCTACTTGACAATAGATTTATTACCCATCGTATTTCACTTTCTACTGGAGTCTCTTTCAGAACAAATTTCTCTCTCCAAAGTTTTGTAAAAGGCTTCAGTAAAGTTTTTTAATTTTTGAAAAAAGCTCAACTGTCTCTATCAGATTACTTTTGAATATTGCTATCATAGCTGCATTTTTTCTGGTTTCTCTGATATTCTTAAAACATTTTTCATTTTTCTTTTCTTGTTTGTAATATTCTTGAATGAGATATTATTCCTTGAGCTTTTTTGCTTCATATTGGAAGTTTATATTCATTTGTTTTGTTTTGTTACTCTTTCATCTTACATGTTTCCTTGGCTAGCATGATAACTTATTTTGGAAATCATTTTGATCTTCTCCAATTTGAAATTTTGGGAATGTTCATGCCTGTAATCTTTCATGTTCTGTCTGTTATCTTTTTCCCATAGCACTTTAAGTTCTCTTTTGCATAACTGTACTAATCTTGCTCCTTACAAAGATTTTATATTCTGACTGGATGACCACCATACCAAATCTAGTTTAAACTTCTATTCTATTTAATTTTCTAAGCTTATCCTGTATATTTTCAATAAGTCATGATTTATGTCACAATCTGAAGTACCTCAAAGTTCCCTTTACAAAAAAATCTTATCCATCTTCTGAATTGTTGGATTTATACAATCCAAATCTTATTCTGATTCCAGGTTCTTCCATTTCTCCAACTAGTAATATTACGTCCTTCCTAGGTTACATTCACTATTCTTGCAATTTGCTGTAGAATTCCTCAATATTCTTGTCCATTGCAAATGTACATTGCAAACATATACTTACACTGCTATTATACTAAATGATATTCTTTCTGAATATCCCTGCCACTTGATTCTTTGGTAAGCTCTTATGCCTTATATTTACTTATTCCTAACACATCTAATTTAATATCCTTTATTTCCTCTTGAAATGCACAGATTTTTTTTTCAATTAGGCAGTGTTGGTTTTGGAAAAGATGAATCAGGTAGCCCAAAGACCCCAAATCTAAGAAAATATTCCATTTTCAGGAACCAATCCAGCAAAAGATTTGCATGAGCTGCAGTACAAGAAACCACTTCCATATTTACTATCATTTTGGGAGAATTGGCAGTGGCAGCATGGAAAAGATTCCTAACATAAATTACATCTGGTAATCACTAACTGTAGTTCCTGTATTTTTTTTTCTCTACTCCATTCTCCATTTCCTGCTGGCTAGTAGGGCCTATTGCTTTTTGGTCTTCTACTAGATCTGAAGTGGAAACATTTTGCACACAAAATAACAGGACAGCAGAGAACAG